TTACACTGAGGTTCTAACCCACCCTGAGTTGACTTTTGTATGTGGTGTGAACTGCTGGTACAATTTAAGTTTTCAGAATGGTCAAACAGTCCAAGTACCATTTATGAAAACAGCACTCTCCTCAACTTCTCCAATAGACACCACAGTATCAAGCGGAAGGTGAGGGTTGGTAAATGGGTGGTGCAAAAATCCATTTATGTAAGGAACTATTTCTGAGCTCACTGTTCTGCCCCTCTGACGTGGTAACTATCCCTGCACTGGGATCCTCTTATCTTCAAAATTGTAGCTTTGTGACATCAGGTCCCAGTGAATGCTCCCACCATGCTTTCCTTCAAGGAAACAGTGTATTGATGGCACCGGGCCTTTGGAATCTGCCTGTTATTCTTCCATCAGACCACCCAAACAGAAATCTGGTTTCAATTCTGATTGCTAATAAACATCTTTGATTTTTTTTCCCCTCGGATTCCTATCTCTTTATTCCAAATTCTTACTGTCTCTCAAGAATCTTGAATGATTTCCCCACACACAGCCACTTAGCAACTTTTATCAGACCTGGAATTAGAAACATAATGTAATTGTGCTAGTCTAACGCTAACATAAAATTTCATTTTCCAAGTATTCTTTGCCAAGACATAGGCAAAGAAATGCTTTCTGTATAATTACTTTTTTACACAATAATTTTCTACTCAAGAACCTTATACACTCTAATAATTTATCTTTGGGATTGTCTGAGTTGATAGTACATCGTTATGCCTCCCAGGGAAGTTGGTGGGGCCCTGGTATAGGACAGTTCAGGTAGAGAGCAAAATAAAAAGATGTTTAAAGCTAAGGTAAGACTGCCAGAAGTTAGCACTTAGTTAGTTGGATGTGGGAAGAAGTTAAAAATGACTCCTAGGTTCCTGATCTACCAAGGACAGGGTGTGGAATGAGAATGAAGGAGGGCCTTAAGCCAGCAAATGATGCCAAGAAAAAATATTCAGGTAGGTAGAGAGAAATCCAACAGGACATGGGTTGTAAAAGCCAATGAAAGGCTTATAACCAGAGCTTGAACATGTTCAACAAGCCATCACTACCCAATAATCTGACAGCAGGTTATAGAGCAGTAGAAAGGTCGTGGGTAAGTCTGGGCATGCACAATACAGCCCACGTTAGGATCCTTCTTGTACAAGACAAGATGCTTTGTTTACAGTCAGCAACTCACCTCCAAAAACCGTCTTGAATCATATGTTGTGAGAAACAACAACGGTTTTCAGAGCAGATGTCTTAAGCAATATTTAGAAAGAAAAAAATTTCCTAAAACACATAATGTCTTCAGAGGTGCAGTTCTAGGCACAACAAACACAAATTTCAAGATGTCATAAGGGGTAGTTTGGCCTGTTAGAGGCTCCTGAATCACTTCATTCCAGATTGGGGCCTTTCACTTATTCAGTCCAACCAGAAGGTTCAGTGATTCTGGTTCTCATTAGGGTTGTTATAAGTGTTTAGTTAATTAGTTTTGGGCAAATGGAGGGATTACACTTTTTCACTCTCTTGTTTATGTATGTGCAATCACTTACTGCTAAGCTTTCTACCTATTAACATGCTAACGTTAAAAACAATGTGCAATTCTGGACTATGACTTTCATCACTAATCTCTAACAACAGACACACTGCTGAACTCATTTCGCTAACATTTGATTTATGATTTTGGCCTTGATACTCAGAGAAGATTGGTCTGGAATTTCATTCTCCCTGCATTTCTACTGCAATTCTGGTACTGATGCTATGCTCTGTATGTGAGGAGAGTTATGGAATGTATCTCATTCTTCTCTCTCTAGGACTATCTCCATGAGTGTACAATATCTGTTTCCAGGTATTTTGCATCGTGTACTAGAGAACTACAAGTGTGGAGAAGACTTTTCATTATTGCTCATACTGATGACACAATTGATACAATCGTTAACTTCTATATTCTTTTTTCCACTTTCATGTAGTTTAGAAGCAAAAGGCAAAGGAGAAAAGGAAAGGATATACCTGTTGTACCCACTGGAATGCAGCTTTCCAGAGAATAGCAAAGAGAGGTAAGAAAGCATTCCTAAGTGAACAATGCAAAGGAAAAGAGGAAAACAATAGAATGGGAAAGACTAGAGATCTCTTCAAGAAGATTAGAGATACCAAGGGAACATTTCATGCAAAGATGGGCACAATAAAGGACAGAAACGGTAAGGACCTAACAGAAGCAGAAGATATTAAGAATTGGCAGCAATACACAGAAGAACTATACAAAAAAAGTCTTAATGACCTGCACAACCCAACAGTGTGATCATTCACCTAGAGTCAGATATCTTGAAATGTGAAGTCAAGTGGGCCTTAAGAAGCATAGTACTACTAATAAAGCTAGTAGAGGTGATGGAATTCCAGCTGAGTTATTTCAAATCCCAAAAGATGATGCTGTGAAAGTGCTGCATTCAATATGCTAGCAAATTTGGAAAACTCAGCCAAGGCCACAGGACTGGAAAAGGTCAGTTTTCATTTCAATTCCAAAGAAGGGCAATGCCAAAGAAAGTTCAAACTACCACACATTTGCACTCATTTCAAATGCTAGCAAGGTAATACTCAAAATCCTTCAAGCTAGGCTCCAACAGTACGTGAACTGAGAACTTCCAGAGGTACAAGCTGGATTTAGAAAAGGCAGAGGAACCAAAGTGCCAACATCCGTTGGATCATAGAAAATGCAAGGGAATTCCAGAAAAAGTTCTACTACTTCACTGACTATACTAAAGCCTTTGACTGTGTGGATTGCAATAAACTGTGGAAAACTCTCAAAGAGATGGTAATACCAGACCACCTCACCTGCCTTCTGTGAAACCTGTATGCAGGTCAGGAAGCAACAGTTAGAACAAGACAAGGAACAGTGTACTGGTTCCAAACTGGAAAAGCAGTATATCAAGGCTGTATATTGTCACCCTGTTTATTTAACATAAATAAATAAACACCCTGTTTATTTTATATGCAGAGTACATCATGCAAAATGCTGGGCTGGATGAAGCTCAAGCTGGAATTAAGATCGCAGGGAGAAATATCAATAACCTCAGATATGCATATGACTACACCCTAAAGGCAGAAAGTGAACAGCAACTAAAGAGCTTCTTGATTAAGGTGAAAGAGAAGAGTGAAAAGGCTGGCTTAAAACTCAACATTTAAAAAATTAAGATCATGGCATCCGGTCCCATCAGTTCACGGCAAATAGATCAGGGAAAAAATGGAAACAGTGACAGACTTGATTTTCTTGGACTCCAAAATCACTGCAGACAGTGACTGCAGCCATGAAACTTTTTAAAAGATGCTTGCTCCTTGAAAGAAAAGCTATGACAAATGTAGACAGCATGTTGGCATATTTAAAAGCAGACATCACTTTGCCAACAAAGTTCAGTCTAGTCAAAGCTATGGTTTTTCCAGAAGTCATGTATGGATGTGAGAGTTGTACCATAAAGAAAGCTAAGCACCAAACAACTGATGCTTTTGAACTGTGGTGCTGGATAAGACTCTTGAGAGCCCCTTGGCAGCAAGGAGATTAAACCAGTCAATCCTAAAAGAACTCAACTCTGAATATTCATTGGGAGGACTGATGCTGAAACTGAAGCTCCAATACTTTGGCCACCTGATGTGAAATACTGACTCATTGGAAAACACCCTGCTGCTGGGAAAGATTGAGGGCGGGAGGAGAAGGGGTCAACAGATAATGAGATGGTTGGATGACTCAATGGCCATCAATTTAAGTAAACTCCAGGAGATAGTGCAAGACAAGAAAGTCTGGGGTACTGCAGTCCATGGGGTCTCAAAGAGTTGGACATGACTGAATAACAACTATTTAGCCACATTTCCCAACTTTTCTATGATTTTGTCTTAGAATACAATCTAACATTCTCAAAAACAAAAAACATTCCAGAAAGACGCATGCTGAGATCTGGGATATCTGTACACATCCACAAATCATTGTACATTATTAGTACTGTCAAAAACTGTTAGGTGTTGGCACCTAGAAGTCAAGGTAGGATGGCAGCCCAACTCTATTCAGCATGAAGTCTTCATTGCCAGAAGAAGAATAATCTGATTTCTTAGACTGTCCTGTGTTCCAGGCACAAGGCAGAGACTCATTCAGCACTAGAAGAATGCAATGAAATAAAGACTGCTTTGCGAGGCAGAGGCTAGTAGGACAGTAACTCCTCGTTAGCAAAGCCTAGTGATGTGGCAGAAGTGACTTTTTCCTTTCAATTCCTAAATTCCCCAGCATCACACCAAGGGGAATACAACCTGAAACATCCAACCTGTTTGAAGACAAAGGCAAAATAATGTTTTGCAATCCAAGATCACCCTAAATGGCACATGTGACGCTCTAGCAATCATCCTTTCTTTCTTCCTTTTGCCAGGACCTGACAACATAACATGGGCCTATTCTGGCTACCTACAGACAACCAGAGAAGGAACAGGAGGGAAGGGCTTCCCAGAAACCTCAAATTTCATCATCCAAACTTCATTCCTAAGAGAATTCCAAGTAGCACTGTGTGGTCAATATGACTCCTAAACGGGGATCTATCAAATCCCAGTTCTGGCCAGCCGAGACCAGCAAGAGGTATTGGATGGAGGCCTATGGAGGCCTATGCTAGCTCTCAGTAAAGAGATGATGGGAGGAAGGTCAGTTATTCCCAGGCCTACCTCAGCCCCCGAGCATCAGGGAGAAGCAGGGTCTCTACACCAGAAACAACAGGCAGATTATGAGCAGGTGCTAAGACAGTGTGACTGAGCCTCACTGCCTGAAAACGCATGGACCAAAATGCCCCTCTTCTCTCCATGGACACCCTCCTCAGGGCCAAAATGGGTACCAAGGTGGGACATGGAAGACTGGAAGGCATGAAGAGATGAAGGATCCAGGCAAGTGCAGACATAGTCTGGTGAGGCTGGAAGCCAGGCCCCTCATCACCTGCACACAGGCTAGCCCAGCGTCCCCCTCGAGGACTGACCTGTGACGTCCAGGTGGAAGGAGACCTTCTGGCCCCCGGCCTCGCAGCTGTACACCCCGGCGTCCGCCTGGCCCGCCTGCTGCACCACCAGCCGCCGCCCACGGCCCGTGGCCTCCACACGCACTTTCGAGCTCGAACTCAGCTTCTTGCCGTCCTTGTACCACGTCACCTCCGTCTGGGCCTGGGCCACCTCGCAGCTCAGCGTGGCGCTGGTTCCCGCCACGGCCTGCACGTCACTGCGTGCCAGCTGCTCCTTGGCAAACACCAGCGAGGGCTCTGAGGACACAGAAGGGGATACACAGGGTCAGAGACCCCATCTCAGTCAGGACGGCAGCCCCGGGCAGAGAACAGGGATGAGGGGTTGGGAGTAGGAGGAGGGGAAATGGGGCTGGAGATTTCTCAAGACTGCACCAGTCTTGTGCCCTGCAGCGGCGCCCCTGCCTTTCTCGGCAGCAAGTCCCACAATTTACGCATTCTCCCACAGGTCCCTGGGAGCTGGTCCACGGTGCAGGACAAATGGAACAGACTTGCCCCCTGTTCATGACAACTGCCAGGTCTCCAGGAAAATGCTCCCCATCCTTCCTCAGCGGTGCCCCAGTCTTCTCCATACTGCTTAAGAGCAGGGAGCTTTTCACCTGTGGTCTGTGAAGACGGCTGAGGCTCGGTGCCCTTGCTCGCGCTCAGGATTGTCAGCTGACGGCAATCTGGGGGAGCGCTTGCACTTCGCTGTGGCTTTCCTCATCACTGTCTGAGGAATGAAGAAACGCAGCCCTTTCCCTTTAGGACTGGGCTCGCCATTACTGTTCTCGTCGTCCTGTGACACTATCAAATCTTTTGCCCACTTATCAACAGTAGGCTCAACCTTTTGTTGATTCAACCCTGGCCACTCTTCAAACATTTAAATACTAGAGAATGATAAACAGGCAGGTTTGAAGGACATTCCCAGCTGGGTGACTGCCACTTTCACCCTCAGATCCAGTCCTCTGACAATCCAAACTTTCTCCCTCCAATAGTGTCACAAGGCCCATTTCTGCTCTTTGAGTGTAGAGCATTTGTGTTCTATTCAAGAAATATTCCCTTACCTTAAGTTCCTAAAGAAACCACTTTCTCATCTGAGGTTTTTTATACCCTGAGGTTTCTAATCCAACATGAGTTGACTTTTGTGTGTGGTGTGAACTGCTAGGACGTTTTAAGTTTTCCATGTGGTTCACTGGTTCAGCAACTATTTTTGACTACAGCATCCTTCCTCCACTTCTCAAATAGACAACACAATAACAAACGGAAGATAAAGAGGATCTGTGAAGATGGTGGGTGCAGGAACCCTTTTATGCAAGAACTGTTTCTGAGCTCACTATCCTGTTCCTCTGACGTGACAACTATCCTGCACTGGGATCCCATTATCTTGAAAAAACTGTAGCCTTACCATAATTCCTGACTTCAGGTCCCAGTAAATTCTCCCACTGTGCTTTTCTTCAAGAAAACAACATATTGGCTGTACCTTGCCTTTGATCTGCCTGTTATTCCTCTATCTACCACCCAAAAAAGAAATTTGGTTTCGATTTTGATTGTTAATAAACATCTTTGATTTTTCCCTCGAATTTCTATCCACATACTGCAGCCTCTGACTATGTTTCAAGAATCTTGAATAATGTCCCACACACAGCCTCTGAGTAACTTTTATCAGACCTGGAATTAGAAACATGATACAATTTTGCCAGTCTAACTCACACAAATTTCATTTTGCAAGCATTCCTTGCCAGGATTAGATGTAGAAATAATTTCTGCATGTTGATTTTTTTTTTTTTTACACACTAATCTTACTCAAGAATCAGATGCAGTCTAATCATTTATCTCTGGGATTGTCTGAGTTGACCATTCCATCATCAGCAAATTCCACCTTTAGTTTTCCAGTGATTTTATTCTCCTCTTTACTCAACTCAGAGGTTATAGTTGGTCTGAGTGCTGCCCCTCATGTCAAAGATCTCCTGGTACTCCTTAAGTGGGATGCTGTTGTTGGGCGTGTTCTTGTTTCTGCAGGAGTGTGATAACATTAAAAAGAACTCTTTAATACAGTTTGCTAAGAATTTTATGGCACAAACTGATGCTCAATATTATCAAACATTTTGTTCCACCTTCAAGTTCAATCAACTATTTGATTCTGTACTCATGGAGACGATCACATCTTTCTGCATTTAATCCAAAGTCAAGCTTTCTACCTATCAACAATGCCAACGCTGACACAGTGTGCAATCCTGAACTATGACTTTCACCACACATCTCTACCCGTGGATACACTGCTGAGTTCTTTTTATTAACATTTAATATGTGATTTTGACCTTGACACTCACAGTAGATTTTCTGGAATTTCATTCTCCCTGTCTTTCTAGTGTGATTTTGGCATCGATGTTATATTCTGGACATGAAGGGGTTATGGAGGATATCTCATTCTTCTCTCTCTAGGACCATCTTCATAAGCATGCAATAACAATTTTCCAAATATTTTGCATGCCTCACTAGAAAACTACAGGGCTGAGAAGATTTTTCACTACTGGTCCTACTGATTCACGAGTCACAAACTCTTTAAATTTACTCTGTCTTTGTGTGTCCGATTATCACAATCTCCTAGGATTTAGCCATATGTCACAATTTTTCAAAGGTTTTGCCATAAAATACTTTCTAATGTGCTCCCAAAAACCACATTCTAAGAGACCCATGGTGGGATCTGGGGTGTATACACACCCACACATCCTGCTACACTGGCATGGTCTTAAACTCTCACATGCTGGCACCTAGAAGTCAATGTGGCATGGTAGCCTCCCCTACTCAGCATGAAGACTCTTTTCCCAGGAAAGCATGACCCGATTTCTTAGACTGCCTGACATTTCAGCCACGAGAAAGAGACACTCGATGACTACCAGCAAAATGCAAGGAAATAGAGGCTGCTTTGCCAGTCAGAGGCTGCTAGGACAGTAACTGCTTATTAGCAATACCTACTGATGTGGCAGAAGAGATTTTGTCCTTTCCATTCCTAAACTCATCAAATAATGCCAAGTGGAATACTGACCTGCAACATACAAACTTGTTCGAAGACAAACACAAAATCATCCTTGATCTAAGATTACCCTAAATAGCACAGGTGACTATCAATCATCCTTTCTTTCCTCCCTTTGTAAAGCGTGCATGCATGCTAAGTCGCTTCAGTGGTGTCCAACTCTCTGTGACCCTTTGGACTGTAGCCCAGCAGGCTCCTCTGTCCATGGGATTCTCCAGGCAAGAATACTGGAGTGAGTTACCACACCCTCCTCCACGGGATCTTCCCAACCCAGGGACCAAACCCTCATCTCCTGCGGCTCCTACATTGCAGGCAGATTCTTTACTGCTGAGTCACCAGCGAAGCCCCACTTTGCAAGGACCTGACAACAAAACATGGGTTTTTTTTCTTGCAACGTACAGGCTACTGGAGCTTCTATATCCAGAGAAAGGAAGGAGTGGCATCCAAGAAACCTCAAATTCAATCATCTGAAGTTCACTCCTGCAAGAATTCCAAGTAGGATTGTGTGGCCAGTATTTCCCCTAATCTGGAATGCATCAAATTGAAACACCGAAGCACTTGGATGAGGTACCAGATGAGGGCATGTGCTAGCTCTCAGGAAAGACAGATGATGGGAGAAAAGTCACATATTCCCAGGTCTACCTCTGCTCCCAAGCATCAGGGAGAGTCAGGGTCCCAATACCAAGAATACAAGGAAGGTTCTGGGCAGGTACTAAGACAGTGTGACTGAGTCTCACTGCCTCCAAAGAGGTGGACAAAAATGGCCCTTCTTCACTGAAGGTGCATCCTCCCCATCCACCCTTCCTCAGGGCCAAGATGATATGAGATGTGGAGATGTGAAGAAATAAAGGCTACAGGCGAGTACACACATCTGTTGAGACCAAAAGCCAATCCCTTCATCCTCTGCACACAGGCTAGCTCAGCATCCTCCTCCAGGGACTGACCTGTGACGTCCAGGTGGAAGGAGACCTTCTGGCCCCCGGCCTCGCAGCTGTATTCCCCGGCGTCCGCCTGGCCCGCCTGCTGCAGCACCAGCCGCCGCCCACGGCCCGTGGCCTCCACACGCACTTTCAAGCTCGAACTCAGCTTCTTGCCGTCCTTGTACCACGTCACCTCCGTCTGGGCCTGGGCCACCTCGCAGCTCAGCGTGGCGCTGGTTCCCGCCACGGCCTGCACGTCACTGCGTGCCNTTGCCGTCCTTGTACCACGTCACCTCCGTCTGGGCCTGGGCCACCTCGCAGCTCAGCGTGGCGCTGGTTCCCGCCACGGCCTGCACGTCACTGCGTGCCGGCTGCTCCTTGGCAAACACCGCCGAGGGCTCTGGGAACAGAGGGGGAGACACAGGGTCAGAGACCCCATCACAGTCAGGACGGCAGCCCCGGGCAGAGACGACCTGGATGGGGAGTTAGTTTGGGGTCAGTATGAAGGAGTGACAGAGCTTAGAGACTTCTCCAGCCTCTGCACCAGCGCTGTCCTCTGCCGAGGTCACCCAAACTCTCTCAGCAACAAGCGACAATTTATGAATTTTCCTCTGGGTCCATCCATGAGAGCTACTGCAGGATGGGGTGGCCCCTGGAACAGACTTGTTCCCTGCTCATGGTACCTGGCATGTGCTCCCCGACCTTCCCAGATGGTGCCAGTCCTTTCCATAACTTCATCCTTGGAACTTTTCAGCTGTAGTCCATTTGTATGTCTGAGGCTGGCACCTCTGCCTACTCTTACCATTGCTAACTGGTGGCAACCTGGAGAGAGTGCTTACACCCTATGGCTTTCTCTGTCATTGTCTGAGAAATGAAGAAGCAAGCACCTTTTCCCCTGAGCACTGGGGTCACCATTATTGTTTATTCTTCCTGGTGACACTATTCAGATCTTTTGCCCACTTACTAGTAGGATGGGAACTGTGGAGTCATGATGGGAGCTTTCCTCCATGAAGCCCCATCCTCCCCACAGAAACGTGCATGCTCTCATCACAGTGACCAGGACTCACTGAGGCTCCACTCCTGCCCACGCTCACGCTGGCCATCTGCTGGGAATGCGTGTGCCTCCTGTGGTGTTCTTTTGCATTTTTCTCATGACACGGAGGAAAGAACCCTTTGTGATATTTTTGCTCACTGGTATTTGCTCTTCTGCATCATCGTTGTTCAAAGATTTTGCCCTGTTTTCAATAGCATCTTCTGTCATTTTGAGGACATTTTTATATATTTAAATGCAAGGCACTGACAAGTATATATGTTCTAAATGTCTTCCACATCTGTGTGGTTTGCCCTTTGGTCACTTATGCTAACTTCTGATGAATCTTCATGGTTAGTTTTAGTAAAGTATTTCAAATTTGTTTCATTATGGCTAGTACACTTGTATTCTAAGAAATTATTCTTTATCCTAAAGCAATTTATGTCTATGATTTTCCCTTCTATTCTGTGGTCTGTAACCCAACAGGAGTTGACTGTGTGTGGTATGACTTACTGGTCTAATCTCTTCTCTATAGGTTAAATGGTCCAAGTATCATTTATGAAAACTATGTTGCCTCTATGCCTTGCACCATTCCATAATTTTTAAAAAGGAGAAGGGAAATGTGGCTATTCAGGTCTGTGTCTGAAATCACTCTTGAGATGCTTTGGCCTGTATGTATCTTTGCAACAAGACACTGTTGTATTCATTACTATAGCTTTATAGTAGTCTTGATATTTGGTAATATCACCAAATATTTGATCTTCTTCACGAGTGCATTGACTCTCCATGGTCTTTGCAATTTACTTGTCAAGTTTCAAAGTCCCCTCTAAACAAACTTTTTTTGGATTTTAATTTGTATTGAACACTTTTTATTCTTCGTAGATTTCTACTATTTAGAACTTCTTGATGGTCTCTCAAAAAAATTCCAATAATCCTCCCCACCACAGAGCCTCTCAGAACTTTTTATTAGATTTGTAATTAAAAAATGATGGCTTTGATGTTATTTTAACTCTTAAAATTTCATTTTCAACATGTTTGTTACTACTGTTAGACACAGATGTTTGTTTTATTCATACTAACTTTTTCCACAGTAATCATTCTTAACTATCCTATTGTCTCATAACTTATCTTTGGGTAAATCATATTATCTGTGAATTCCACTTTTGTTTATTCACACTTTTATATTATTTTATTTTTTCCCTAACTGTGCTGTAAAATGTTGGATAAAAGCATTAACAGTGGGTTTCCTTGTCTGGTTCTCTATCTCATAAGCAAAGCTTTCAAACTTTCACTTTTTTGTGTGCAATTAGCTGGATTGCCTGCAGAGTCATTGATCAAATTAAGAAAGAATTGTTTATTTATAATTCATTAAGAACTTTATGGCAAAAATTGGTGCAAACTTCATTAAACATTTTTTCTCTATTTATAATGCCAAATCTCATCCTTTATTCTGCATGTCATGAACAGAATGTTTTGCTAACATTTCTAGTATTTCAACAGTCTTGCACTTCTGGACTATGACTTTCATCACAGCGTATCACCAGTTATCCTCTTAATATATTGTTAAACTTATTCTGATCATGTTTTCTTTCAGATGTTGGCCTTGCTCTCCATAATAGATTGATGATGATTTCAATCCTCACCCCTTTCCTTGTCAGATATTGGTATCAGTGTTACACAATCTACATGAAACAAAGAAGAGACTGTATCTCATTTTTCTATTCTCCAGAATAACCTCCATGAACAAGGCTCTCCTTTTTAAAGTAGCTCATGTAATTTACCAGTGGCACTACAGGGCTTAAACATTCCTCTATGGGAAGATTTTTCACTATGATTCCAATCAAGTAAAAGGTTCTAAGACTATCTGAGTTGTCCAGTGTTTCTGTGTCCCTTGGTATATAGTTTTCTAAGAACCTGATTAATTTGTCAAGCCTTTCACATTTATTGTCATGAAAAAAATTGTCATACTCTCCTAAAATATCATTCTTTAAAGATACATGCATATTGGTATAGGAGAAGTGACTATTCCTCTTCAAGTCTAAATCTATAAATCAGACTCCAACTATTATTCTGACATAGAATATTCCAACAGAAGACAAAGAAAATCCATGTTTGCTTTGAAAAAAGAATTCCAGACCTCACATGTGCATATTTCAGGAACACATCAACCAATCCTCTGCTCTCTGTTTACTCTGCACACGTTACAAAAGCAAAATAGACCCAGATGTGTATGTGTATGTGTGCTCAGTCCCTTCAGCTGCCTCTCCATGATACCATGGACTATAACCGTCAAGCTCCTTTGCGCGTGGGATTCTCCAGGCAAGAATACTGGAGTGGGTTGTCATGCTCTCCTCCCGAACCAGGGATAGAACCTGCGTCTCCTGCATTGCAGGCAGATTCTTTACCCACTAAGCCACCTCAGAAGCCCTGTAGATACACAGATAATTTCAATATCCAGTGCAAAGAGAAAGAGTGTCCAGAACAACTGAAACTCTGGTAAATCCATAGTTCATTCCTGAGATAAATCAAGTACGACAGTGTTGGTCCCGGTTTAATGAAATTCAAACACCTCTTCCTAGTGGGAACCCAGAGGCATTGCTGGGTGGGGCACTGAGGAGCTGTCAGGACAGCCAAGAGGAGCAAATTCACATGCCCACAGTTCAAAGACATCTGGTTCACATCAGACTCCAAGTGCAAGACAGAACCAGAGGCCCAGACACCAGGGAACACCCAGAAGACCCTGGGCAGATGCTGGGAACTGACGACCGTGCATCACCGTGTGGAAACACCACTCTGGGTTCACAGAACGCCTTTCTCCCTTCTGTTCACACCCTCCCATCCAGCTCCCTTTGCCCAGCCTTGGGTATGAAAATGGGGGTGGGAGGACAGAAGACCGAAAGAGATGAAGTCCAGTGGAAAGACCATCGGGTCAGTCAGGGGTGCAAGCCCGNATGTTGATGTTGCTGTTGCTGTTGTTGTTTTGTAGGAAGTTTACAACATTAAAAAGAGAACACTTTTACATAGCTTGCTAAGAATTTTAAAGCAGGAATTGATTTGTTCAATACTATCAAATTTTTTATCTCTCCAATTTAATCAACCACTTGATTCTGTATTCATGGAAATGACACCTTTTTTCATTCAATCTCTTAAAGTCAAGCTTTCTGTCTATTAGCATTGCCAAAGTTAAACCCAAAGTGCAACCGGGACTAGAATCACTGACCTCTACCCTCAGATACACTACTGAATCTATCTTGATAACATTTAATTTATGATTTGGGCCTGAATATTGACAGTATACTGGTCAGAAATTTCATCCTCTCTTCTTTCACTGTGTGATTTTAGTTGATGTTATGTCCTGTACATTAAGAGAGTTATGGGGTATATTTTCTTTCTACCTTCTAGAACCTTCTTCACAAGAATGGGGTAACAGTTTTCCAGGTAATTATTTACAGCGTACCAGAGAACCATGGGTTGAGAAGACTTTTCATTATTGGTCTTAATGATCGACAAGTTACACAACTCTTTGATTTTTCTCTATCTTCTTTTTTCCATTTTCACATAGTTTACTGGGGTTGAGCCACATTTTACAATATCCCAATACTTTTACCTTAGAATAGTCACTGACATTTTCTGACAACAACTAACCACAAACAACTAACCATGTGAGATCTCAAGTTGTACAAACCCACGAAAATGCAAACCTACACTGGCATGGTCTCAAACTGGTATGTGTTGGCACCTAACAGTCAATGTGGGATGGCAACCCATCTCTATTTCCCATGGAGTAATTTCTTCCCAGAAGAATAATAACCTTACTTCTGGGACTACCCTATGTTCTAGCCACAAGGAACACACACTCACTGAACATTTGGAAAATAGAACAAAATAAAGACTGCTTTGCGAGTCAGAGACTGAGAAAATAGCAACTCCTCATTAGCAAAAACTACTGATGTGGTAGGAGTGCCTTTTTCCTTTCCATTCCTAAACTCATCAATAACACCAAGGGAAATACTGACCTGGATCATCCAACCTTCTGAAGCCAATGAAAAATCCATATTTACCTAAGATGATCACCCTAAATAGCACTGGTGACTATACATATCATCCTTTCTAATTCCCTTTTCAAGGACGTGACAAGAAAACATGGGCCAATTTCTTGCTACCTACAGGCAATAAGAGCTTCCACATCCAGCAAAAGGAAGGAAAGGCCTACCAGAAACCTAGTATTTTATCATTCAAAGTTCACTCCTGAGATAATTCCAAGGTCATGTGGCCAACATTTCCACCATCCCAAAGAAATGATGAATTTTTGATGAATTTTTGATGAATCTGGGATTCATCAAATTGAAACAGTTCAGATCAACCAAGAATCTACATGAGGTCCTGGATGAGGGCATGTGGTGGCTGTTAGAAAAAACACCTGATGAGAAGAAAGTCACATATCCCCATATCTACTTCAGCCCCAAGCTTCAGGGAGAGTCAGGATCCCGACACCAGGAACAACAGGAACGTTCTGGGCAGATGCTAAGACAGTGTGACGAGCCTCACTGCCTGGAAATAGGCAGACAGAAACAATCCTTCTTCTGTCAACCCCCACCCTCCTCTCCATCCACCCACCCCTGAGCCCAGACAGGTGTCAAGATGGGGCATGAAAGACAGGGAGATATGAAGAGATAAAGGCACCAGGTAAGTGCACACATGAGTCTGGTGAGTCTGGAAGTCAGGCCCCTCATCCTCTGCACACAGCCTAGCTCAGCGTCCCCCTCCAGGACTGACCTGTGACGTCCAGGTGGAAGGAGACCTTCTGGCCCCCGGCCTCGCAGCTGTACACCCCGGCGTCCGCCTTGCCCGCCTGCTGCACCACCAGCCGCCGCCCACGGCCCGTGGCCTCCACACGCACTTTCGAGCTCGAACTCAGCTTCTTGCTGTCCTTGTACCACGTCACCTCCGTCTGGGCCTGGGCCACCTCGCAGCTCAGCGTGGCGCTGGTTCCCGCCACGGCCTGCACGTCACTGCGTGCCGGCTGCTCCTTGGCAAACACCACCGAGGGCTCTGAGGACACAGAGGGGGAGACACAGGGTCAGAGACCACACCTCAGTCAGGACGGCAGCCCCAGGCAGAGAAGACCTGGATGGGGAGCTGATGGTCGGGTGGGAAGGAGGCACAGAACCGGAGACTTCTCCAGGTTCTGCACCAGCCTTATGCCCTGAAGAGGACCACCCCCCCACCCCCCGCCTTTTTCAGCAATGAATGACACAATTTACACATTCTCCCATGGATTCCTGTAAGCTGGTCTAAGGGTGGGGGCACTGCTGGAAAATACTTCTCGTCTGCTATGGCATCTGAAGAGTCATGAAGCAAGTGTTCCCCAACCTTCCTATATGGTGCCCCCCATCTCCACACGGTGACGCAGGGGCGTTTTCACCTGCAGTCAACCAAGACGATGTCTCAGGCTTGGCACCCTTGCCTACTGTTACTATTGTTAACTTGTGGCTATCTGCTGGGAGTGTTTGCGCCCCTCCGGGGGCCTTCTTTATCACTGTCTGAGGAATTAAGAAGCTGATCGCCCTTCCCCTTAGGGTTGGGCTTGCCATCACTGCTTTCTTCTTGTTGATGACACTATTGAAGCCTTTTGCCCACTTGCCCATAGCAGGCTCTCTCTTTTCTCCACTCACCTCTGGCCACTCCTTTCCACTCAAAAACAAGAGAATGATGAGACAGGTAGGTTTTAAGGATATTCCCAACTGCGTGGTTGGCATTTTTACTCTCTGATCCAGTCCTCTGATAAACCAGAGCTATTCCTTCCAACAGTGTCATAATGTCCAATAGGCCTTGGAGTATAGATTATTTGTGTTCTATTTAAGAAATCTCTCCTTACCCTACGTCTTCAAAAAAGACCACGTTATCAGCTGAGGGTTTGGGGGGTTTTACCTTTTACACTAAGGTTTCTAACTCACTACGAGTTGACCTTTGTGTGTTACGTGAATAGATAGTACAATTTAATTTTCCATATGATTCAGTGGTCCAAGCACCATTTACAAATACAACATCCTTCCTTCACTTCTCCAATAGACCACTCAGTGACAAACGAAGACACAGGTGTAGGGGATGCGTGGAGCAAGAGTCCATTTATGCAAGAACTCTTTCTGAACTCACAGTTCTGTTCCTCTGAGGAGGTAACTAGTCCTGTACTGGGATCCCCTTATCTTTACAACTGCAGCCTTATGGTAATCCCTGACATCAGGTACAGTAAATGCTCACACTGTGCATGTCTTCAAGAAAACAAAGCACTGGATGCACAGTGCCTTTGGAATCGGCCTGTTATTCTTCCTTCGGAACACCCTAAAAACACATGTGGTTTGATTTTGATTGTTAATTTCTTTGGGATTGTCTGAGTTTATCATCCCCTCATCAGCAAATTCTACCTTTAGTTTTTCAAAACTGTTGGCAAGTAATTTTATTTTCCTCCTTAGACAACTCAGGGGTTAGTCACCTACCTGTATTGTGCCTCATGTCAAAGATTTCCTTGCTCATCTCAGGTGGGATGGTATTGTAGTTCTGCAGGAATTTTATGTTAAAAATTAAGAACACTTGTATACAGTTTGCCAATAGTTTTATGGCAGGAACTGATACTCAATTTAGAAAACTTTCTGTCTCAATATATGACATTCAAGTTTAATCAACCGTTTGATTCTGAACTCATGAAGATGGTCACATCTTTCTGCATTCAATCTCTTAATGTCCAGCTTTCTACTTATTCACATTGCCAACATTAAATTCAATATGCAATCCTGGAATTTCATCACTGGTCTCTAACTGTGGACACATTGCTGAATTTATTTTGTTAGCAAATGTTATGGTTTATTATTTTGACCTTGATATTTGCAGTAGATTTGTCTGGATTTCATTCTCCCTGCCTTTCTTGTGTGATTATGGTGTTGATGCTACGTTCTGTACATGAAGAGAGTAATGGATGGTATCTCCTTTTTCTGTCTCTAAGATCATCTCCACAAGTACGGAATAAGAGTTTTCCAGGAAATTTTGTATACTGTACCAGAGAACTACAGGGCTGACTTCTCATTATTAGCCTCACTGATTGACAAGTCATACAACTCTGACTTCTATCTTCTTCTGTCCTCTTTCACATAGTTTACTAGAATTTAGCCAAATTTCAAAATTTTTCAATGGTTTTATCTTAGAACACTCTCTCCTATTCTCAGAAAACCACATTCTACAAAGATGCATGATGGGACCTAGGGTATCTATACACACCCATAAATCATCCTACCCTGATAAGTATTGCCACCTAGGAGTCAATGGCATGGCAGCCCAGCCCTATTTGACATGAAGACTCTCTTCCTAGAAGAATAACCTGATTTCTTGGACTGCCCTAAGTTCCAGCCACAAGAAATAGACCATTAGGAAAATGCAACAAAATAAAGACTGCTTGAGGGACAAAAATTCCTGAACTGATTCTATGAGGCCACCATCACCTTGATACCAAAGCCAGACAAAGATATCACAAAAAAAGGAAATTACACGCCAATATCACTGATGAACATAGCTGCAAAAATCCTCAACAAAGTTCTAGCAAACAGACTCCAACAACACATTAAAAGAATTATACATCATGATCAAGTGAGATTTATCCCAGGGATACAAGGATTCTTCAATATATGCAAATCAATCAGTGTGATACACCATGTTAACAAATTGAAAGAAAAAATATGATCATTTCAATAGATGCAGAGAAAACTTTTGACAAAATTCACTATCCATTTATGATTAAAAACTGTCTGTGCAGTTGGTTTGGATGGAAGGCACCTCCCTCTACTTAATGCCGTCTATGTCCCACCCGCCGCCAGCATTCTTTTTTCTGATGAGGAACTGAAAGCTTTTTCCTTTAAGATCCGTAACAAGACAAGGGTGCCCACTCTCACCACTATTATTCAATATAGTTTTGGAAGTCCTAGCCATGGCAACAAAGAAGAAAAAGAAATAAAAGAAATCCAGATTGGAAAAGAAGAAGTAAAACTCACTGTTTGCAGATGACATAATACTATACATATAAAACCATAAAAGCACCACTAAAAATCTACCAGAGCTAATCAATGAATATGGTAAAGTCACAGGATATGAAACTAATACACAGAAACTCCTTACATTACTACATACTAACAATGAAAATTCAGAAAAAGAAATTAAGGAAACAGTTCCATTCATCATTGCAACAAAAAGAATAAAATATCTAGGAATAAACCTATTTAAAGAAACAAAAGAACTGTATGCAGAAAACTATAAGACACAGATGAAAGAAATGAAAGACAACATAAACAGATGGAGAGATACTATGTTCTTAGATGAGAAGAATCTATATTTTGAAAGTTACCATACTACCCAAAGTCATCTACAGATTCAATGTAATCTCTATCAAGCTACCAATGATATATCCATAGAACCAAAACAAAAAAACTTCATAATTTGTATGGAAACACAAAATCCCTGAATAGACAAAGCAATCTTGAGAAAGAAAAATACAACTGGAAAATTCAATTTCCCTGACTTCAGACTATACTACAAAGTTAACAGTCATCAAGACAGTATGGTACTAGAACAAAAACAGAAATATAGACCAAAGGGACAAGATATAAAGCCCAGAGATAAACCCACACACCAATGGGCACCTAATCTTTGACAAAGGAGGCAAGAATATACAATGAGAAAAGACAGCCTCTTCAATAAGTGGTGCTGAGAAAACTGGACTGCTACATGTAAAAGAATGAAACTAGAATGTTTCCTAAAACTATACACAAAAATAAACTCAAAATGCATTAAATACTTAAACGTATGGCCAGAAACTATAAAGCTCTTAGAGGAAACCAAAGACAGTATACTGTTTTGCATAAATCACCCCAAGATCGTCTTTCACCCACCTCCTAGACTAATAAAAACAAAAATAAACTAATGGGACCTAATTAAACTTAAAAGCTTTTGCACAGCAAAGGAAACTAAAAACAAGATGAAAAGGATGGGAGAAAATAATCGCAAATGAAACAACTGACAAAGGATTAATAACCAAAATATATTAGCAGCTCATACAACTCAATATCAGACAAACAAACAGCTCAATCAAAACATCGGTGATAGTTTCTGGTCTTACATTTAGATCANGAGGATGTGGAGAAACGTGAACCCTTTTGTACTGCTGGTGGGAATGTATACTGATACAACCATTACGGAAAAAGGTACAGAGATTCCTTTAAAAACTAGGAATAAATCTACTAAATAACCCAGCAGTCCCACTATAGGTCATATACCCTGAGAAAAACCACAATTCTAAAAGACACATGTACCCCAGTGTTCACTGCAGCAGTATTTACAACGGCCAGGGAATGGAAGCAACCTAGAGATCCACTGACAGATGAATGGATAAAGAAGTTGTGGTACATTTTACAATGGAATATTACTCAGCCAGAAAAAGGAATGCATTTGAGTCAGCTGCATTGAAGTGAATGAACCCAGAGCCTCTGATACAGAGTGAAGTCAGAAAGAGAAAAGCAAGTATTGTATATTAACGCAACATATATAGTATCTAGAAAAATGGTACTGATGATCCTAGTAGAGAACAGACTTGTGGGCACAGAGGGGGAAGGTGAGGGAGGGACTAATTGAAAAAGCAGCATTAACATATATACACAATCATGTAAAACAGATAGTGGGAATTTGCTAAATAACACAAGGAGCCCAGCGCGGTGCTCTGTGATGACCTAGAGGGGTGGGATGAGGGCGGGGGAGGGAAGAGAGGCTCAGGAGGGAATTGATTAATTATATATAATTAAATATATATAATTATATATTATATACATAATTATGATTGATTCATGTTGTATTATGGCATAAACCAGCACAAAATTGTAAAGCGATTTTCCACCAATTAAAAAAATTTTTTAAAATATTGCTTTCCCAGTTAGAGGCTGCTAGGACAGTAGCTCTTCATTAGCCAAGCCTAATGACGTGACAGAAGCCACTTTTTCCTTTCCATTTCTAAATTCAACAATGTAACGCCAAGGGGAATACTTACCTGCAACATCCAAACTCTTTGAAGGCAAAAACAAAACCATATTTGATCTAAGAAGATCTCCCTAAATAGCACAGGTGTTTCTCCACTAATCATTCTCTCTTTCTTCCCTTTGCCAGGACATGACAACAAAACACGGCCCTGTTTTTTGCTACCTTTGGGCAACCGGAGCTTTTAAATCCAGGACAAGGAAGGAAAGGCCTCCCAGAATCTCAAATTTCATCATCCAAAGTTCACTCCTGAAAAAACTCTTAAGTAAAATCTTGTGGCCAACATGTCCCCTAATCTGGGATCCATCATACTGAAACACCTCTAACCAACCAAGAACAAGTACGAGGTTTCAGATGAGGGCATGTGATTGCTCTCAGGTAAGACATATGATGGGAGGAAAGTCATGAATCCACAGGCCTGCCTTAGAGCCCCCAAGTATCAGGGAGTGCCAGAGTCCTCTTAGGGAAATTACCATGGAGGCGGTATTGTTCAGGCTTCAGAAGCAGGAGAGCAGGCTCTTGACCTTCCTTGTGACCTGCCAGGACACTGCCCGCATTTCCTGCCTGTCTGCAAGCACAGGAAGTCAGGTTGCACTTTAGATAAGAAAGGGAGTGAGTCTTGGAATTCTTGAGCCCCTGGATTCATGCCTGGGTTTTAATGAAATCCTATGACTCAGAAGATAAAGCAAACAGCACCCTAAAAATGTTAAACTAAAACCAGAGCTGCATTTTTGCATGCAAACTGGTGATGCGGCCTGGGGTTATAAGCAGGGGCACCCCAAATTGCAATCTGAAGTCTCATCTGTGGAGTGAACTGCCGCTGAGGCCATGTTCCCAACTGGGACTCCAGATTGCTGTTAACAAGAGACTTCTCAGCATGATGTTTAAGTCTGGATGTTGGTCAGTCCAGTCTGGTGATATGTGTGCTGTTACTCTTTGCTTTTGTTTAATTAATTTATTTTCATTGGAGGATAATTACAATAATATTCTGGTGGTTTTTGCCATACATTAACACGAATCAACCACAGGTGCACATGTGTCCCCCCATCCTGAAACGCCCTTCCACCTCCCTCCCCACCCTATCCCTCTGGGTTGTCCCAGAGCACCAGCTTTGAGTGCCCTGCTTCATGCATCGAACTTGCACTGGTCATCTATTTTACATATAATATACATGTTTCAACGCTATTCTCTCACAACCTCCCACCCTTACCTTTTCCCACAGAGTCCAAAAGTCTGTTCTTTACATCTGTGTCTCTTATGCTGCCTTGCATATGGGATCATTGTTACCATCTTTCTAAATTACATATATATATATATATGTGTGTGTGTGTGTGTTAATATACTGTATTGGTGTTTCTTTTTCTGATTTACTTCACTCTGTGTAATAGGCTCTAGTTTCATCCACCTCATCAGAACTGATTCAAATGTGTTCCTTTTTTATAGCTGAGTAATATTTCATTGTATATATATGTCTTCTCTTGTGTTGTTGGAAGAGGTAAACTTCAAACTGCAATTTGAACTCTCATCAGTGGAGTGAACTGCCGCTGAAGCCCTCTTCCCAATTGGGACTCCAGATTGCTGTTAACGAGAGACTTCTCAGCATCCTGTTTAAGTCTGGATGTTTTTTTAGTTTACCTCTTCCAACAACACAAGAGAAGACTCTACACACGGCCATCACCAGATGGTCGATACCAAAATCAGATTGATTATATTCTTTTCAGCCAAAGATGGAGAAACTCTATACAGTCAGCAAAAACAAGACCGGGAGCCGACTGTGGCTCAGATCATGAACTCTTTATTGCAAAATTTAGACTTAAATTGAACAAAGTAGGGAAAGCAACTATACCAGCCAGGTATGACCTAAATCAAATCCCTTACGGTTGTACAGTGGAAGTGAGAAATAGATTTAAGGGACTAGATCTGATAGACAGAGTGCCTGAAGAACTATGGATGGAGGTTCATGAGATTGTACAGAAGGCAGGGATCAAGATCATCCCCAAGAAGAAGAAATGCAAAAAGGTAAAATGGTTGTCCAAGGAGCTTACAAATAGCTGACAAAAGAAAAGAAGCTAAAGGCAAAGGAGAAAAGAAAAGATATACCTATTTGAATACAGAGTTCCAAAGAAAAGCAAGGAGAGATAAGAAAGCCTTTCTCAGAGATCAATGCAAAGAAATAGAGGAAACCAACAGAATGGGAAATACTAGAGATCTCTTCAAGAAAATTAGAGATACCAAGGGAACATTTCATGCAAAGATGGGCTCAATAAAGGACAGAAGTGGTATGGACCTAACAGAAGCAGAAGAGATTAAGAAGAACTGGCAAGAATACACAGAAGAACTGTACAAAATGATCTTCATGACCCAGATAACCACAGTGGTGTGACCACTCACCTAGAGTCAGACATCCTGGAATATGAAGTCAAGTGAGCCTTAGGAAGCATCACTACAAACAAAGCTAGTGGAGGTGATGGAATTTCAGCTGAGTTATTTCAAATCCTAAAAGATGATGCTGTGAAAGTGCTGCACTCAATATGCCAGCAAATTTGGAAAACTCAGCAGTGGCCACAGGACTGGAAAAGGTCAGTTTTCATTCCAATCCCAAAGAAAGGCAATGCCAAAGAATGCTCAAACTACCGCACAATTGCACTCATCTCACACGCTAGTAAAGTAATGCTCAAAATTCTCCAAGCCAGGCTTCAGCAATACGTGAACCGTGAACTTCCAGATGTTCAAGCTGGTTTTAGAAAAGGCAGAGGAACCAGAGATCAAATTGCCAACATCCGCTGGATCATCGAAAAAGCAAGAGAGTTCCAGAAAAACATCTATTTCTGCTTTATTGACTATGCCAAAGCCTTTGACTGTGTGGATCACAATAAACTGTGGAAAATTCTGAAAGAGATGGGAATACCAGACCACCTGACCTGCCTCTTGAGAAACCTGTATGCAGGTCAGGAAGCAACAGTTAGAACTGGACATGGAACAACAGACTGGTTCCAAATAGGAAAAGGAGTATGTCAAGGCTGTATATTGTCACCCTGCTTATTTAACTTATATGCAGAGTACATCATGAGAAACGCTGGGCTGGAAGAAGCACAAGCTGGAATCAAGATTGCCGGGAGAAATATCAATAACCTCAGATATGCAGATGACACCACCCTTATGGCAGAAAGTGAAGAGGAACTAAAAAGCCTCTTGATGAAAGTGAAAGAGGAGAGTGAAAAAGTTGGCTTAAAGCTCAACATTCAGAAAACTAAGATCATGGCATCTGGTCCCATCACTTCATGGGAAATAGATGGGGAAACAGTGGAAACAGTGTCAGACTTTATTTTTGGGGGCTCCAAAATCACTGCAGATGGTGATTGCAGCCATGAAATTAAAAGACGCTTACTCCTTGGAAGGAAAGTTATGACCAACCTAGATAGCATATTAAAAAGCAGAGACATTACTTTGCCAACAAAGGTCCATCTGGTCAAGGCTATGGTTTTTCCAGTGGTCATGTATGGATGTGAGAGTTGGACTGTGAAGAAAGCTGAGTGCTGAAAAATTGGTGCTTTTGAACTGTGGTGTTGGAGAAGACTCTTGAGAGTCCCTTGGACTGCAAGGAGATCCAACCAGTCAACCCTAAAGGAAATCAGTCCTGAATATTCATTGGAAGGACTGATGCTAAAGCTGAAACTTCAATACTTTGGCCACATAATGTGAAGAACTGACTCACTAGAAGAGACCCTGATGCTGGGAAAGATTGAAGGCAGGAGGAGAAGGGGATGACAGAGGATGAAATGGTTGGATGTCATCACTGACTCGAAGAACATGAGTTTGAGCAAACTCCAAAAGTTGGTCATGGTCAGGGAAACCTGGCATGCTGCAGTCCATGGGGTCACAAAGAGTCGGACATGACTGAGCTGAACTGAACTAAATATTCCATTGTATTCCAACTTCCTTATCTATTCATCTGCCAGTGGACATCCAGGTTGCTTCCACATCCTAGCTATCATCAACAGTGCCGCAATGAACACTGGGGTACATGTGTCTCTTTCAATTTTGGTTTCCTTGGTGTGCATGCCCAACAGTGGCATTGCTGGGTTATATGGCAGTTCTATTTCCAATATTTTAAGGAATCTTCAGTCTGCAGTCCTAGAGGCTACTGTACCAGTTTGCATTCCCACCAACAGTCTGTTACTCTTTTCTATTGTTTCTATTTCTTTTAATGATTATATATTGAAATTAAGTTAAATAAACCTCTATTAAATATTGAAATTGTTTGTGTGTAATGATCTGTTTCTTTTGATAACAAATTCTCCGAACCTGAAATGAAAGTACAACTTTTGGTAAAATAGGTTTTGACACCAGGGAAAACAAGAAGCTTCTGAGCAGGTGATAAGACAGTGGGACAGAGCCTAACTGCCTGCAGAAACGGCCACTCCTCTTTCCAGGCCACCCTTGCCATTCATTGTCCTCCAGGCCAAAATGGGTATCAAGATGGGACACGGAAAACTGAGCGGCAAGAAGAGATGAAGGTTATAGGCACGTGCACATATAGTCTGGTGAGACCAAAAGCCAATTCCCTCACGCCTGCACAGCTAGCTCAGCGTCCCCCTCCAGGACTGACCTGAGACGTCCAGGTGGAAGGAGACCTTCTGGCCCCCGGCCTCGCAGCTGTACTCTCCGGCGTCCGCCTGGCCCGCCTGCTGCACCACCAGCCGCCGCCCACGGCCCGTGGCCTCCACACGCACTTTCGAGCTCGAACTCAGCTTCTTGCCGTCCTTGTACCATAAAGACTGGTCTTTTGTGCATGGCATCTGCAGGTTCACGAGGCGAGTGTTCCCTAACCTTCCTAGATGGTGGCCCAGTCTTCCCCATATGGCTATGCAGGGAACTTCTCACCTGCAGTCCATGGAGATGTCAGGGTCAGCACCCACGCCTATTCATGCTATTGTCACCTTGTACGCTTACACCTACCCATGGTCTTCTCTTTCACTGTCTGAGGAATGGAGAAACTGACCACCTTTACCATTAGGACTGGGTTTGCCATTACTGTTTTCTTCCTGGTGACACCATTCAAACCAAACTGGTGGGTCGTCCTGGGTGCATTCCTAGCCTTCCTCGTGAGCCCAGAGTCTTTCCCACAGTACTGCGTAACCCATGTTCTCATCTGCAGTGAATGGGACTTGCTGAGGCTCCGCCCTCACCTACTCTCACCGTTGCCAATCTGGTGGGAGTGAGTGCGCCTCCTGTGGTGCTCTTTTGCATTTTTTCTAATGACCCAAAGTGAAAAACTTTCTGATGTTTTTGCTCAACATTGCTCTTCTGTGTTGTCACTGTTCAAAGTTTTTGCCTTATTTTCAATAGCACCGTCTGTCCTTTATTTATTTGGAGGACTTGTTTATTTATTTATATTTAAATGCTGCTGCTGCTGCTAAGTTGCTTCAGTCGTGTCCGACTCTGTGCGGCCCCACAGACAGCAGCCCACCAGGCTCCCCCGTCCCTGGGATTCTGCAGGCAAGGACACTGGAGTGGGTNCTGCTAAGTCGCTTCAGTCGTGTCCGACTCTGTGCGGCCCCACAGACAGCAGCCCACCAGGCTCCCCCGTCCCTGGGATTCTGCAGGCAAGGACACTGGAGTGGGTTGCCATTTCCTTCTCCAATGCTAGGCACCGACTGACAAGTATGTGTGTTCTAAATATCTTCCATATCTGTGTGGTTTGCCTTTTACGAACTTACGCTATCTTCTGGTGAATCTTCATGTTTAGTTTCAATATATTAAAGCATTTCAAATTTGTTTCAGTATGGTTGAGAGCTTCCAAGAGGTGCTAGTGATAAGGAATCCGCCTGCCAATGCAGGAGATGCAAGAGACTAGGGTTCAGTACCTAGGTCGGGAATATCCTCTGGAGAAGGAAACGGCACCCCACTCATTATGGCAGGCGAACATTCTAAGAAACCATTCTTTACCCTTAAGTAATTAAAATCATCTGTGTTTTCATCTAAGAGCTTTATGAGGACTTCTTTTGTGGCACAGTGAAGAGGAACCTGCCTGCATTGCAATGCAGGGACACAGGAAGAGTTCACGTGTGAGCTCTAAGAGCAACTAGGCCCATGTACCCCGACTACTGAGCTCCAGCTCTAGAACCCAGAAGCCGCAACTACTGAGCCCACGGCCCAACCACCGAAACCTCTGCACTCGAGGGCCCACGAGCTGCAACTGCTGAACCTGAGAGCTGCAGCTTCTGCGCTTGCATCCTGCGACTACTGAAGCCTGTGTGCCTAGAGCCTGCGCTCCACAAGAGAAGTGACTCAACGACAAGCCCGTGCACCGCAGTGAAGAACAGCCCCTGCGGACCACAGGCGAGGTCCACGTGCAGCAACAAAGACCCAGCCCAACCAAAAGCAAATACATTTTTAGAAAAAGAACTGTACGGTTTTCCCTTCTATTCCCTTCAACTCCAAAAGGAGCTGACTATGTGTGGGATGAGTTACAAGTCTGATCTTTTTTTTCCTATTGATTTACTATGGTTAAATGGTTTAAGTACCATTTATTAAGAACATGCTGTCTTTCCCCTTGCACTATTCCAAAGTTTTCTTTAAAAAGAAGGGGAACATAGTCATCCACTCATAGGTCTGTGTCTGAGATCATTTTTCTGGTCCTTTGGTCTCAATACCTATCCTCGCAACAAGACACTACTGTATGCATTACTGTAGCTTTCTAACAGTGTTGATATCTAGTACAGCAAATAACTCTCCTTTTGTTCTTCTTCAAGAGTGAATTCACCTAATAAAAATATATGAAAAAGAGTGAATTCACTGCACATTGTCTTTGAAATTTATGTGTCAATTTTCAAAGTCCCACTAAACAAACATTTCTTTGAATTTTAATGGGTATTGAACATGTTTTACTCTTCAATTGATTTCTATCCAACATCTTAGAACTTCTTGACTGTCTCTTAGAAAAATTTTTTAACGTCTCTCTGCCCTTACAGAGCCTCTCAGCACATTTATTAGACTTGGAATTTAGATATTGATCTTTTTCATGCCATTGTAACTTTCAAAATTTCACTTTTGAGATGTCTGGTACTACTTATAGAAGTGTTTTTTTCATACTCATTTTTTACATGGTAATCATTTTTAACTATCTTATTATGGCGCATATTTTATCTTTTGGATAAATCATATTATCCATGAATTCCACTTTTGCTTTCTCACACTTTTATATCTTTATATCTTTCACTTTACTTTTGTCCTAACTGTGTTTTAGAATGTTGGACAAAAGCAGTAACAGTAGGCTTCCTTGTCTGGTTTCCTATCTCAAAGGCAAAGCTTTAAAACTTGGCACTTTTTTTGTGTGCTTGCCTGCGGCATTGTTTATCAAATTAAGAAAGAATTGCTTTCTGTATAATTCATAAAGAATTTTATGGCATGATTTGATGCTAACTTTATAAAAACATTTCTTCTGTATTTAAGATGCCAAATCTTATCAAGTACTTTATTCTGCATATCATGAACAGATTGCTTGCCAATGTCTGTAGTGTATAAATAACCTTGTATTTCTGGAGTATGACTTTCATCACAGCATATTACCAATTTTCCTCTTATTATATTCTTAATTTTTATATTTTGTTCCAGATTTTGGCCTTGATATCCATAATAGATTGGTCTACAATTTTAATTCTTACTACTTTCCCTGTCAGATACTTGTATCAATGTTGTATCATCAACATGAAACAGAGACTGTAACTCCTTTCACTGTTCTCTAAAAAAGTTTCCATGAACAAGATTTTTTTTCCAAAGTATTTCATGTAATTTGCCAGTGGAACTACTGGGACTAGATCTTTCTCTATGAGAAGACTTTTCATTATGGTTCCAATTACTTTAAAGGTTTTAGGACTATTTAAGTAGTTGAATGTTTCCTGAGTCACTCTTCATAGAGTTTTCCAAGAATCTGATCAATTTGTCAAATCTTTCATATTTATTGCCATGAAAAAATTGTCTATTCTCCTAAAATACCATTTTAAAAAACAAATGCATGCTGGTACAGGAGAAGCTACCATTCCTGTCCAAATCTATAAATCAGACTCCAAGCAGAATTCTGAATCAGAAGGTTGTAACAAAAGACATAATAAACTCAGTATTTGCTTTGAAAATGTACCTAGATTTTGTTATATGTAGATGCACAGATAACTTCTAGTCCCATGTATAAGGAGAAAGAGTGTCCAATTTTGTAGTCCATAATTCAGTCTTGAGATAAATCAAGTAAGACAGTGTTGGTCCTGGTTTAATGAAATTCAAACATCTCTTCCTAGTGGGAACCCAGAGGCATTGCTGGGTGGGCCACTGAGAGGAGCAAATTCACACCCACAGTTCAAAGACATCTGGTTCATACCAGACGCCAAGTGCAAGACAGAACCAGAGGCCCAGACACCAGGGAACACCCAGAAGACCCTGGGCAGATGCTGGGAACTGACGACCGTGCATCACCGTGTGGAAACACCACTCTGGGTTCACAGAACGCCTTTCTCCCTTCTGTTCACACCCTCCCATCCAGCTCCCTTTGCCCAGCCTTGGGTATGAAAATGGGGGTGGGAGGACAGAAGACCGAAAGAGATGAAGTCCAGTGGAAAGACCATCGGGTCAGTCAGGGGTGCAAGCCCGGCCCATCACCTCCACATAAGGCTAACTGACTGCCTCCAGGNAGATGGACCCACAGTCGTCTCCCTACTATCACGCAGGGACGTCTCACCTGCAGTCCAGGGAGCTGGCTCAGCACCCTTTCCTGTTCTTACTGCTGTCAGCTGACGGCAATCTGCTGGGAGTGCTTACACCTCCCCCTGGCTTTTTTCACACTGCATGAGGATTGAGGAAGCTGAACCCCATTTCCCTTAGCACTGGGTTCTCTCCCGGTGACTGTGTTCTCCTTCCCAGCAACACTATTCAAAGCTTTTCACAACTACCGATAGTGGGCGCTCTCTTTTCTCGCTTCACTTCTGGCCACTCTATCCATTTAAACACCAGAGAATGACAGGATTTAAGGATATTTCCAACTATGTGACTACCATTTTTACTCTTCGATCGATTCCTCTGATAAATGAAACGTTTTCCTTTCAATAGTTCTCACATCTTCTCATCTCTTTTATTGTAGAGTGCTGTGTTCTATTTAAGAAGTCTTTCCTTACCTTAAATCTTTAAAAATATCATCTGAGGGTTTTTTGGGTTTTACCTTTTACACTGAGGTTTCTAATTTACTACAAGTTTACTTTTGTGTGTGGTGTGAATTGCTATCACAACTTAAGCTTTCTGTATAGTTCAGTGATGCAACCACAATATTTGAAGACCGTACCCTTTCTCAACTTCTCTGATAGACAACAGAGTAACAGACGGAACATGTGCGGGGAGGGGAGGGGGGTGGCTGGTGCAGGAATCCCTTCATGCAAGGAACTGTTTCTGAGCTCACTATTCTGCCCCTCTGACGTGCTAATTTCCCCTGCACTGGAATCCCCTCATCTTGAAAACTGCTGCCTTATAACTTCTAACATTGGGTACCAGTAAATGCTCCCACTGAACAAACATCGTTCGAGAAAACCGCATATTGACTGTACCGTGCCTTTGGAATCTGCCTGCTATTCTTTCATCTGACAATTAGAAACATACTTTGTTCCATTTTGATTTTTAATAATAATTTTTTATTTCTCCCTCAGATTTCTACCCATCTATTTCAACCTCTGCCTCTCAAGAATCTTGAATAATTTCCCCACACACATCCTCTTAGCAACTTCTATCAGACCTGAAATTAGACTCATGATACAATTATACTTCTCTAACTCTTGCACACAAATTTCATTTGCCAAGCATTCTTTGCCAGGACTTGTATGTAGAAATGTTTTCTGCATATTGATTTTTTACATACTAGTTCTACTCTAGAATTACACAGTCTAATAATTTATCTCTGAGATTGTCTGAGTTGATCATCACAACATCAGCAAATTTCACTTTGAGTTTTTCAGAACTGTTTGCTGTTGATTTTATTTCCTCGTTACTCAACTCAGTGGTTGCAGAGGCCTACATGTATCGTCTCTCACATCAAGTATTTCCAGACAGACCTTGCTCTTTTTGTTGTTGTCGAATGAATTATGTAACGTTAATTTTTAAAAAGAATACTTTTATACATTTGCTAAGAATTTTATGGCAGGAACTGGTGATCAGTATTATTAACTTTTTTTTTTAGTGTGTAACATTCAAGTTCAATCAACCATTTGATCTGTACTCATGGAGATTAGTTCAAGGCAGCAGAGTGGATATGCACTCACCTCCTCCTGGAAGAGCACCAAAATCACAACTAACTGTTGAACAACCATCAGCAGGGCTAGGCTTGAACCCACCAATAAATATACCCCAAGTCCAAAGACCTCATGGCGTCCAGAGACGCCACAACAGATGGCAGGAGGGGTGCAATCACAATAAAAGGAAATCCCATACTCACCAGGAGGGCAACCCGTGGTCCAGAAAACAATTATAGCACAGAGGTTCTCCCACTGCTGTGAAGGTTCTGAGCCGCACATCAGGCTTCCCACCCTTGGGATCTGCCAAAGAGACTAGTAATCCCCAGGGCATCTGACTTGAAGGATTTGACTGCAGATTTCTACAGGCCCTGGGGAAACAGAAGCTCCACTCCTGGAGGGCACACACAAAATCCTGGGCACATCAGGACCCGGGGGAAAGGAGCAGTGACTCCGCAGGAGACCGAAACAGACCTGCCTGCTAGCATCAGAGGGTCCCCTGCAGAGGTGTGGGTTGGCAGTGGCTCACCACGGAGATAAGGGTACTGACAGAAGCACCTGTAGGTGTGAGCCCTCCTGGAGGTCTCCGCCATTAGCCCTACCCTAGAGCCTGTGGATACCAGGCAAGAATCACCTCAGGTCAAAACACTAACAGAGAGGACGAGCAGACCCACCCATCAGCAAACAAGCGGATTTAAGTTACCGAACGCTGCCCTGCAAACCAGAGCAAGACCCAATTCTACCCACCATCAGTCTCTTCCATCAGGAAGTTTGCACAAGCCTCTTAGATAGCCTCATCCACCAGAGGGCAGACAACAGAAGCACAATATTCTTAAAGTGATGGAAGAGAAGAAACTATAACCAAAAATACTCTACACGGCAAGGCTCTACTTCTGATTTCATGGAGAAATCAAAAAGCTGATAGACAAGAAAAAGTTAAGAGAATTCAACACCACCAAATCAGCTTTATAGCAAATGCTAAAGGAACTTCTCTAGGCAGGAAATGCAAAAGAAGGAAAAGATCTACAAAACAAATAAAAACAATTAAGAAAATGGTAATAGAAGCATACATATTGATAACTGCCTTAAATGTAAATGGATTAAATGCATCAACCAAAAGACATAGACTGACTGAGTGGATACAGAAACAAGACCTGTGTATACGCTGTCAAGAGACCCACCTCAGACTGAAAGTAAGGGGATGGAAAAAGATATTCCATGCAAATGGAAATCATGACAAAGCTGGAGTGGTAATGCTCAGACAAAACAGATTTTAAAACAAAGGCTGTTATAAGAGATAAAAAANTTCAACTTTTCTCTATCTTCTTGTGCCCATTTTCACAGTTTACTAGGATTTAGCCACATTTCACAACTTTTCAATGGTTTTACCTTAGAATACTCTAACATGCTCTGAAAACCACATCTTCCAAGGATGCATGGTGGGATCTGGGGTATACACACACCCACAAATCCTCCTATCTGGCATGGTCTCAAAGTGTTAGATGTTCGGACCTACTAGTCAATGGAGGATGGCAGCCCACCCCTATTTGGCATGAAGGCTCTCCTCCAATTCTTAGACGGCCCTATGTTTCAGCCATGAAGCAGAGATACTCACTGACCATCTGTTAGGGAAATTAAATGAAAGTAATTTAGTTCAGGCTTCAAAGACAAGAAAGCAAAGTAGACCTCTGACCTTGCTTCTGACCTGCCCAGACATAGGCCTGACTGTGTGCCAGATGTGAGTACAAACCAAGCAGCACCATAGGTAAGAGAGGGCAGATCTTGGGATTCTTGAGCCCTGGAGGGCATCTGGCCACCCATACCTGAGGCTTAACAACCTTCCAAGCCTTGCAAAACAAACAGCTTGTAAAACACGATTAACATAAAACTGAAGCTGCAAGTCACTCCTTTGCAGGCAGGGATTATAAACGGGAACCCCCAAACTGCAATCTGAAGTCTCACCCATGGAGCAGATGAGCTGCCTGAGACATTTTTCCAACTGAGACTCCAGATCGCGGTTACACGGGACTTCTAGTGCTGTTTGAGTCCGGACGTCAGTGAAAACACAATTTGGTGATGTATGTACTGTTACCCTCCTTTACTGTTCTATTTCTCTTTTCTTTTAATGATTGTTTACTGAAAGTTGTTTATTGAGCTTTCCTGGTGGCTCAAATGGTAAAGAGTCTGCCCGCAGTGCGGGAGACCCAGGTTCGATATCTGGGTTGGGAAGATCCCCTGGAGAAGGAAATGGCAACCCACTCCAGTACTCTTGCCTGGAAAACCCCATGGATTTTCCAGGAGGAAAATGGAGGAGCCTGGAAGGCTACAGTCTATGGGGTCGGTCGCAAAGAGTCGGACACAACTGAGCGACTTCACTTCTTCTTATTGACAGTAAGATAGAGAATTCTCTATTAAATATCAAAATTGTGTATTTGTGTATAATAAGTGGTTTCTGTTGTTAATGAATCCTTAAAACCTGAAACAAAAATTAAAACTTTCAGCAAAACACTATTAGGAAAACAAAATGAAATAAAAGACTGCTCTGTGAGTCAGAGGCTGCTAGGACAGTAACTCCTCATTAGCAAATCCTAATAACGTAGGATTTCCTTTCCGTTCCTAAATTCATCAATGTAATGCCAAGGGGAATACTGACTCAGGACATCCAAATCATTTGAAGACAAATGCAAAATCACATCTGATCTAAGAAGACCACCCTAAATGGCAGAGATGACTCTCCACCAATCATCCTTCCTTTCTTCTCTTTGCAAGGGTGACCAGAAAACATGGACCAACTTCCTGGTACCTACAGGCAACTGGAGCTTCTATATCTGGGAAAAGGAAGGAAGGACCACCCAGAAACTTAAAAATTGATCATCGAATGCTCACTCCTGAAGAATTTCAATAGGACTGTGTGACCAATATCTCCCCTAATCCAGGAACAATGAAATTGTATCACCTCAGGCAAACCAAGAACCTGTATGAGGTGTCAGATTAGGGCATGTGGTGGCTGTCAAGAAAGACACATAATGGGAGGAAAGCCACGCATCTCTAGGTCTACATCAGTCCCAAATTATCAGGCAGAGTCGGGGTCTCAACACTAGGAGTGACAGGAAGATGCAGGGCATGTGCTAAGACGCTGTGACCAAGCCTTACTGAATGCAAACAAGTGGAGAGACACAGCCCCACTTCTCTAGGCACCCTCCCCACCCATCCCCCCCAGGCCCACATGGGTATCCATGTAGGACATGGAAGACAGGGAGGCATGAAGAAATGGAGGATCCAGGCAAGTGCATACATGTTTGGTGAGGCAGGTAGCCAGTCCCCTCAGCACCAGCACACAGGCTAGCTCAGCGTCCCCCTCGAGGACTGACCTGTGACGTCCAGGTGGAAGGAGACCTTCTGGCCCCCGGCCTCGCAGCTGTACTCCCCGGCGTCCGCCTTGCCCGCCTGCTGCACCACCAGCCGCCGCCCACGGCCCGTGGCCTCCACACGCACTTTCGAGCTCGAACTCAGCTTCTTGCCGTCCTTGTACCACGTCACCTCCGTCTGGGCCTGGGCCACCTCGCAGCTCAGCGTGGCGCTGGTTCCCGCCACGGCCTGCACGTCACTGCGTGCCGGCTGCTCCTTGGCAAACACCACCGAGGGCTCTGAGGACACAGAAGGGGATACACAGGGTCAGAGACCCCATCACAGTCAGGACGGCAGCCCTGGGCAGAGAATGAGGATGAGGAGTTAGGAGTGGGAGGAGGGGGAAATGGGGCTGGAGAATTCTCGGGGATCTGCACCAGTCTTGTGCCCTGCAGAGCTCCCCCAAACTTTCTCAGCAACAAGTGACATAGTTTATGCAGTCTCCTACATGTGAGCTGGGTCAGGATGTGGCGGCCTTTGGATCAGCCTCATCCCCTACTACTGGCATCAGTAGGGTCACAAGGCAAGTATTCCCCAAACCTTCTAGATGTACCCCCAGTCTTTTCCATAAAGTGCAAGCACGGTTTTTCATCTGCAGTCCATGGATGGCTGAGGCTCAGTGCCTTGCCCACTCTTACTATTGTTAACTGGTGGCAATCTTGGGGAGCGTTTGCACCTCCCCGTCGCTTTCTTTGCCATTGTCTGAAGAATGAAGAAGCTAAGCAACTTTCCCCTTAGGACCGGGTTCGCCATTTCTTCTTCCTGGTGACACTATTCAAATCTTTTGCCCGCTTACCAAGAAGATGGGAACTGTATGGTTATGATATGTGCATTCCCAGTCTTCCTATATAAGGCTAGAATCTTTTCCACAGGAATGTGCAGCCCATGTTCTCATTTGCAATGAACGAGATTCCCGAGGCCCCACCTTCACCTACTCTCACTGCTGGCAAACTGGTAGGAGTGAGTGTTACCTCCTCTGTCTTACACATTTTTTCTGATGACTCAAACTCAAGAACCTTTTCTGATGTTTTGCTCATCAGTATTTGCTCTTCTGGGTTGTCATTGTTCAAAATTTCTCCCCTATTTTCAATAGCATTGACTGTCATGTGTTCATTTTAAGGAACATTTTTGTATTTAAATGCTAGGCACTGACAAGAATGTGTGTTCTAAACATCTTTCATATCTGTGTGGTATGCCTTTTACTAACTCATGCTGTCTTCTGATGAATCTTCATGTTTAGTTTTAATGTACTCAAGTATGTTAAATCTCTTTCATTATGGTTAGTGCATTTGTATTCTAAGAAATCACCTTTATCCTATATTAATCAAAACCATCTATCTTGTCATCTATGATTTTTCCCTTTAATTCCATGGTCTCTAACAACAGGAGCTGACTACGTGTGGTATGAGTTATTGGTCTAATCTTTTTTCTATATGGTTAAACGGTTCAAGTAACATTTATTAAAACCATCCTCTCACTAGTCCACATTTTTTAAAGAGGAGAAAGGGAATGTGGTCCTCCATTCATGCACAGGTCTCTGTATGAGATCACTGTTCTGGCCCCTTGGTCTGTGTATCTATCCTTTCAACTAGACACTATTCTATTCATTACTATAGCTTTGTATCAGTTGATACTTGGCATAGCAAATAACTCACCTTTTGCTCTTCCTCAAGAGTAAATTGACTGTACATGGTCTTTGCAACTTGTCAATTTTCAAAATCCCCACTAAAGCAACATTTTTTAAATTTTAATTGGTATTGAAAATTTTTTATTCTTCCACGAATTTCTACCTATTTAGAACTTCACATCTCTTTCTCAAAAAAATTTTAATAATCCTCCCCCAGCATCTCTCAGCACATTTTATTAGACCTGGAATTAGAAAATGATTCTTTTGATGCTATTGTAACTCTTTTAAAATTTCATTTTTAGATGTTTGTTGCTACCATGTAAACACAAAAGTGTCTACTTCATGTTGATTTTTTACATGGTAATCATTCTTAAATATCTTGTTAGGTCTCATAGTTTGTCTTTTGGATAAATCATATTATCCATAAATTCCACTTTATTTTTTCACTCTTTTGCTTCATTTCTGTCTTAACTGTTATAGAATGTCAGATAAAAACAGTGTAACAGCTGGTTCCCTTGTCTGGCTCCCTATCTCATAAGCAAAGCTTTCAAACTTCCACTTTTCTGTGTGCAATTAGCTTGTTTGTCTACAACATCACTTGTCAAATTAAGAAAAAAACAGTTTCAATTATAATTTGTTAAGAATTTTATGGCATGAATGGATGCTAATTTCATTAAACAGTTCTGCATTTATAATGCCAAATCTCATCAAATTCTTCATCCTGCATGTCAGATACAGACTGTTTTGCAATGCTTCTAGTGTTCCAACAACCTGGTGTTCCTGGACTGTGACTTTCATCACAATGTATTTTCAATTTTCCTCTCAATATACTGCCGAATTTACTTTGATAGTATTTTGTTTCATATTTTAGCCTTGATATCCATAATAGATTGGTCTGTAATTTTCATTCTTACTACTTTCCTTGTCAGATATTGGTATCAATGTTACACTATCTACATAAAAAAATCAGAGACTGTAGTCTTTTTCTATTCTCAAGAAAAATTTCCACAAACATGGATTTTTCCAAAGTATTTCATATAATTTACCAGTGTAAACTACCAGGATCAGATAATTTCATATGCAGATTTTTCACTATGGCTCTAATTACTTAAAAGATTATAGGACTATTTGAGTTGAATGTTTCTTGTGTCACTCTTAAGACAGTTTCCTAAAAATCTAATCAATTTGTTATAGCTTTCATATTGATTGCCATGAAAAAAATTGCTATATTCTCCTAAAACACAATTTTCAAAAGATACATACATGCTGGTATAGGAAAAGCAACTATTCCTTTCCAAGTCTAAATCTATATATCAGACTCCAAGCAGAATTCTGACATAGAATGTTCTAATAGAAGAAAAAAGGAAATCAATATTTGCTTTGAAAAGAGAATTCCCAGAGGGATGGGATGGGGAGGGGGGTTCAGGATGGGGAACACAGGTACACCCGTGGCGGATTCATGTCAGTGTATGGCAAAACCAATACAATATTGTAAAGTAATTAGCCTCCAATTAAAATAAATAAATTTACATTAAAAAAAAAAACAAAAAAAGAAAAGAGAATTCCAGACCTCACATGTGCATATTTCAGGCACATACTGACCAATTCTCTGCTCTGTATACCTTGCACACATATTGCAAGAAAAATGGATCTAGATTTTGTTACATGTAGATACACATGCATGCATGCATGCTCAGTCGCTTCAGTTGTGTCTGACTCTTTACAAACTTATGAACTGCAGCTCACCAGGCTCCTCTGCCCATGGGATTCTCCAGGCAAGAATACTGGAGTGAGTTGCCATTCCCTCCTCCAGGGGGTTTTCCCGACTCAGGGATCAAACCTACATCTCCTGCATTGCAGGCACATTCTTTACCCACTGAGCCATCTCGGAAGTCCTATAGATACACAGTTAACTTCAATATCCATGTGCAAGGAAGAAAGAGTGTCCACAACACTTAAAACTCTGGTAATCTATAACTTGGTCTTGAGATAAGTCCAAGCCTATGCAGCAGCAATTTCCCCTGGTCCTGGTTTAATGGAATTCAAACATCTCTTCCTAGTGGGAACCCAGAGGCATTGCTGGGTGGGGCACTGAAGAGCTGTCAGAACAGCCAAGAGGAGCAAATTCACACCCACAGTTCAAAGACATCTGGTTCACATCAGACTCCAAGTGCAAGACAGAACCAGAGGCCCAGACACCTGGGAACACCCAGAAGACCCTGGGCAGATGCTGGGAACTGACAACCGTGTATCACTGTGTGGAAATGCCACTCTAGGTTCACAGAACACCTTTCTCCCTTCTGTTCACACCCTCCCATCCAGCTCCCTTTGCCCAGCCTTGGGTATGAAAATGGGGGTGGGAGGACAGAAGACCGAAAGAGATGAAGTCCAGTGGAAAGATCATCGGGTCAGTTAGGGGTGCAAGCCCGTCCCATCACCTTCAAGGACTGACCTGTGACGTCCAGGTGGAAGGAGACCTTCTGGCCTCCGGCCTCGCAGCTGTACTCTCCGGCATCCTCCTTGCCCGCCTGCTGCACCACCAGCTGCCGGGTGCAGCCCTTGGCCTCCACACGCGCTTTCGAGCTCGAACTCAGCTTCTTCCCATCCTTGTACCACGTCACCTCCGTCTGGGCCTGGGCCACCTTGCAGCTCAGCGTGGCGCTGGTTCCCGCCACGGCCTTTACGTCCTTGCGTGCTGGCTGCCCCTTGATAAACATTGCAGAGGACTCTGTGCACAGAAAGGGATATACACTGTCAGAGACGCAAATCTGATCCTATTCCAGGGGATCTTCCCGACCCAGGGATTGAACACACATCTCTGGTGTCTCCTGCATGGGCAGGCAGATTCTTTTCCTCTAGCGCCCCCTGGGAAGCCCAAACCAGCTTATGAGACTTCAGGAAAGTTTCTCCTTGGAGCCAGTGATGCCCTAAGCCCAGAAGGGTGCACAGGTAAAGAGTCTGATATGTCTCCTGTATCAGAACCTCACATGTATTATAGTGATGTTCTAACTCAAAAGTAATTCCTAAGGCTGGGAGAAGGTGGCCAAGGTTATTCCAGCATCTGTCACAGCTAGTTCCCACATGACAGTCACCTCTGGTGAACAGACTGAATTGTGTGCTTTTGTATGCCCAGAACCAGGCATACGGTATATTCCCCACAAACTAGCCTACATTTTTCAAGGTATAACACACATGTAAAGTACACTAATTCATTTACAGCTCAATAAAGTTTAAGTGTACCTATCCCCATGTGACCAAAACACATCAACAAACATCTCCAGCTCCCCATTCACTACTGACCACTCCCCAAAAGTCACCTTTTGACCTTTATCACCATCAACTACTTTTATCTGTTCTTTGATTTCACATGAATGGAATTAAACATTGTAAGTTGTTTGGGTCTGTTTTCTTTCACTCAGCATAGTGTCTGTAAGATCTATCTATGCTATGCTGTAGCAGCAGCCTGTTCTTTCATACTAATGTATAGGATTTGTTGTATGAGCAAGCACCACAATTTATTTTCTCCTTTTTCTCTTATGGTTCATTTGGGTTGCTTCCAATTTGGCAATATGATGTGTAAAGTTGCTATGAACATTCTTTTATGTATCTTTTAGAGCACTACAACTGTTGGAACACAGAAGCACCAGCTTTTGGCTTTCGCAGATATTTCCAGTTTACCAAAACTGTTTTACCAATTTATGCTGCCAACATAAGTGTGTGGAGTTCCGGTTCTCTACATCCTTACCAACAGCTTATATCATCAATTTTAATAACTGTGCATATGCCAATAAATTCAAATAAATACAGAGAGGATCTCAGAAATTCCATGCTGGAGATGCAGTCATTCACTTATTCACTCAATCACTGAGGAAACTAATGTCAATGAAGGGTCCATTATCTGCAGGCACTATGGTATAACTGGGAATGCTACACCACAGCTGGAAATGTGTACAACACAGTCTTTGTTCTTATAGAGCCTACTTTCTGCTGAGGAAAGACAAACAAACATATAAACCTGACAATGATGTAATGCTAAGTTGAGTGGTGTGATGAAGTAAGTGATATGCTAGAGAAAAGGGACTGGTTGGTGGCTTAGATTTGGCAGTCAGAGCAAACCTTGCAAAGGAGTGATGTTTAGGTGAAGGCTAAATGATAGAAGGGAGGCAGCCTTGAAGAAAGCTGAGTGAGTCATTATAATAGAGATGAGACCTAGAGCCACAGCTCTCCTAAAGGGAAGGGTATGGAGTGAGTGAGGAAGGTAAAAGGGAACTGCACTTTTAGAACCACACTGGGCATCTGATTTTCTCCTGTGGACATTGCTGCTCCTTGGTACGGCATAGGGCCGCTACTATGAAACAGGAATACTGATCATGCTGTAGACACCTTGTGTGAATAGAGAGATGACATCAGAGACTGAGGCGACAAGCCTCCAGGGAAAAGAGGCTTTGAGGAATTGAGCCCCACACTCAGTCACATTCCCCCCAAGATGTTTGATGAATTCCCCAGCTGCATGGCCCAGGAGACTATGAAGCCAAGCAGAAGATCTCTGAAAACTATAGCAGACATTTTAGCACCTTGCATTAACAGAGAGACAAAGATTAAAATTGAGTCTCTGCTTGGAAAGAGACCCTCACCCCTGCCCCAAGTCTCTGCAGGAATCCTTGGAGGATGCCCAGGACTGGAAGCCAACCAGAGACAGACGACCCTGATCACAACTGCAATGCAGCCTTGAATCAGTGCAGCACCAGGACAGACTAAAATTCTTAGTTGTTTCCTTTATCCCTAGCAAAAGAAATACTGATCCTCTTTCTAAAGAAAGATAACATCATCCATGTTCTAAAAAAAACAATATCTGACCATCAGCCGAAAATTGACTGGCATGCCAAGGACAGAGTAAATAGAAAATTTTTAAAAGGCAATATTAGACGATCAGTTTTATGGCTATCAGACCAGGATATAACCATGATGTCTCCACGTGCTCAGTTGCTAAGCTGTGTCTGACTCTTAGCGACCCCATGGACTGAAGCCCACCAGGCTCCTCTATCCATAGGACTTCCCAGGCAATAACACTGGAGTGGGTTGCCATTTCCTCCTCCAGGGGATCTTCCCAACCCAGGGACTGAACCCACGTCTCTTGTGTCTCCTGCACTGGCAGGTGGGTTCTCCACCTCTGAGCCACCTGGGAAGCTGATATATAAGCTTGATAACATATCTTTAATATGAAAGAAAAGAAAATAGATCACATATGAAAACTTTACTACCAACTCTGGAATCTAAAGACTATAAAAAATTAAACAAACATAAATTATAAAATGGGAAAATACAACTGAAAGCAAAAGTATAAATGGATTTGACAACATTTAGATAAAAAGCAACAGTAAACCAGTGAACTAGAAACAGAGCTAAAGAAAATATCCAGACTCAAGGAGAGAGAAAGAAAGAACTTAGGTAGAGAGAAAGAGAAAAAGACTGAGGTGGAGAGAAAGGGAGAGAGACTGAGGTAGAGAGAAAGGGAGAGAAAAAGAACTGAGTTAGACAGAAAGGGAGAAAAAAAGAACTGAGAGAGAAAGGGAGATACATGAAAGACACACGAGAAAACTTACTCCATGACTGAGCAAAGACAAAAGTCTGCACTGAAAATGCTCTGAAATCCTAACCAGGACAAACACAAAGAAAATCATACCTAGGCGCATCAATATAAACTGCTGAAAGCAGAAAACAGTATCTTAAAAACAACAGGGAAAGAAAAATGAGATCTTAAGGGAAGATAAATCTGACAGTTGATGTTCCAAAAAATACCTGGAATCTGGAAGATGGTGGAATAGCCTCTTTTAAAAAAAAAAAAAAATTTAATATAGTTTGGAGGGTGGATTGTTCAACTGAAATTTGATATTGAGAGAAAATAACCCTCAGAATACTGGGCTAAACTCTGGCTCTATATTTCTCTGGCTATACGAACTTTGGCAAGTTACGGAGTTTCTTTCTGTGCCTTATCTTACAATGGAAATTCCTCTTCCTGAAGCGGTTGTGAAGCTTACACAAGTAAAAACACAAGAAGCACTCATAAAATCCGGCCCTAGACATATAATTAAACCTGACAGCTGCTATGCCGTAAGCTTTGTGTGGAAACAGACTTCTAGGTGGCATAATCACACACTCCTCACTCCTTAACAGTTAACTTAAGGAACATTAAGGACTTCAAGGAACCCACCTGTGACACTGAGTTGGCAGGAAACCTTGCAGGTCCTGACTTCCCAACCACACTCCTCAGGATCTACCTTGCCCACCTGCTGCACCACCAGGTTCCAGGTGCAGACCTTGGCCTCCACATACACTTAACTGAAATTTGATATTGAGAGAAAATAACCCTCAGAATACTGGGCTAAACTCTGGCTCTATATTTCTCTGGCTATACGAACTTTGGCAAGTTACGGAGTTTCTTTCTGTGCCTTATCTTACAATGGAAATTCCTCTTCCTGAAGCGGTTGTGAAGCTTACACAAGTAAAAACACAAGAAGCACTCATAAAATCCGGCCCTAGACATATAATTAAACCTGACAGCTGCTATGCCGTAAGCTTTGTGTGGAAACAGACTTCTAGGTGGCATAATCACACACTCCTCACTCCTTAACAGTTAACTTAAGGAACATTAAGGACTTCAAGGAACCCACCTGTGACACTGAGTTGGCAGGAAACCTTGCAGGTCCTGACTTCCCAACCACACTCCTCAGGATCTACCTTGCCCACCTGCTGCACCACCAGGCTCCAGGTGCAGACCTTGGCCTCCACATACACTTTCAAGCTTCTTCCCTCTTTGAATCATGTCATCTCTGGGCCTGGGCTACCTTACAGCTTAGCGTGGCACTGGCCCCCACCTCAGCCTGCACTTTCCTTCATGTTGGGTACTCCCTGGAAAACATCAATGTGGGCTCTGAGGACAGGGAGGAACAAACGGTCAGAGACAATCAATTTCTAGAGCTGGATGAGGGCTCACCGTCTGGAACTCAAAACTAGAATGCCCTGGCTCCAAGCTGGCCCTATTCCTAGCATTCTCAATGCAGAGAACTTAATATGCAGTAAATGCACAAAGCAGGGAACAGCACAGTTCTTGGAATCTGAACGCTCCCAGTTCAATTGTGTTCAGATTGATATATGCTACAATCCAGGTTTACACATCAGCTGTAATCTCATAATTACTCTAACAAAAGGACGCATAATTTGAGGCTGGCACATCAAAGAACTGGTATTTTCAGGGAGAATTTCTTATACCATGCCACCAAGAACAGGCAATACTCTTGTCACAGGAACATTAATATGCTAATACAGTCTACAACTTCTAGCAGGCCAACCACCATTGGTGAAATCAAATCATGTAATCAAATCCTTGGCCTTGAAATCAGATGTTCTTTTTTTATTAACTTGTTTTATTTGCTTCATATCACATTACTCTAGAACCCATTCTATTACTCCAGATTTGATTTTCTTCTTTATAAAATAAGTTCATTGGTAATTATATTTCAGTGAGATTCTGTGAATGATAAATTCTCTCCATTTACTCTGTGCTCTTCACTGCTGTTGATAAACCTATAGAAGAATAAATATCACCCCATTTATCTTTTTTCTCTTTGGAAATAGATGGAGTAACAGTGGAAACAGTGGCAGACTTTATCTTCTTGCGCTCCAAAATCACTGCAGATGGTGACTTCAGCCATGAAATTAAAAGATGCT